TGTTGAGTGTATTGAGTGTATCTCTGAGTTTAGCGCGTGCACCACGACTATGAAAAGCCATGATCAATGAAGTACGATTCCCACGATTCACCATGGCAACAGCTCCCGCCAAAAAGACATCTGCATACTTCAGAGTCAATACAAGTTTAATTCTTATCACTGTTATAATATCACAGGTGAAAACTGGCAGCACTCTCTCTTCGAACTGTTGCCTTCTGGTCGGCGCTACAGAGCACTGACCACCAGAACAGTCAGGCACAAGAACAGTTTTTTCCCACAAGCTATATTCAGTCTGAACAATTAATCTTTCATAATTATACATCGTCCATCACAACTAACATAGCTATATTTATATTAAACTGCACACTTTGTAAATAACATATCTGCACACTAATAAACATATATGTACATTTATCTAAACAATTACATTTTTTCCTATACTTCTATTTCTGTATATAGTACATTATTTAATTTTTCTTTTTTTTATTATATTAGTGTTATATTACATCCCTACTGTGTTATTCCTATGTATGTCTGCACTATGTTTGTACTTTCTTCTACACTGGAAGCTCCTGTCGTCAAGTCAAATTCCTTGTGTGTAAACATACTTGGTAATAAAGCTCTTCTGATTCTGATTCTGATTCTGATTCTCTAATCCAACATGCTACATTTCTTAATTACGGTAATGAAAAACATTTGCCAACAGTAAGAAGGCAGAGACTCGTAAAGTGGAAGGAGAACCTGCACTAGCACCACTGACAGATGAATAGGAGATTGCCACAATACCTATATTAAAATCCAACAGGGAAAATAATATTTTGTTGCTTTAGTATTTGTATAACATAAAGATGACCAAATAAATTGTGAATAATTTGTGTTTATTTAACAGCTGTGGTGGTGATTACGGCATAGATATCTTGCACTACCCGTCCATCTGGCATCCTTCCATTCAATACAGTAATCAGCTTCATTTTCAGAAGGTGCAATGGTGAGAATATGTGTGTAATAAATGCATCCAACCACACTGGAAATCCTAAAGGAAATTCTAATTATTAGGTTACTTAGAGGTCGCAACAAGATGTTATCAGTGGTACCGTTCAAATAAATATGAATGTGGATATGGCAAAAGATGACCAAATAAATTGTGAATAATTTGTGTTTATTTAACAGCTGTGGTGGTGATTACGGCATAGATATCTTGCACTACCCGTCCATCTGGCATCCTTCCATTCAATACAGTAATCAGCTTCATTTTCAGAAGGTGCAATGGTGAGAATATGTGTGTAATAAATGCATCCAACCACACTGGAAATCCTAAAGGAAATTCTAATTATTAGGTTACTTAGAGGTCGCAACAAGATGTTATCAGTGGTACCGTTCAAATAAATATGAATGTGGATATGGCAAAATAAATAATTTAATCAAATTAAATTAAATCCTCTCCTGATGAAAATGTAACTCCCCGCGAATTAATGTAGCATCCTCATCTACAGGAGCCCGTGTAAAAAGATATGCAATTTTTTGTCACATTTACTGAAAAACTGCTGACTACTCTTGTCTAACTCTGGTTCAGATTCATTGAACGGCTACAGGATGTCCGGTCAGAACATTAGGTCTCACACCAGGAATGTACTTCAGGGTGATTTATTGTGCAAAGATGTGTGTGTGTTTCTGTAAATTTAAATTTGCACTGTGTGTCTAGCTCGTCAGGTGAACAAGCCCGAACATATTCCCTGAGATGCATTTCAAGTCTACGCATTATAGCCTAATATGCAATATAACATTAAATACTCTATCAAATAAATTACAGAGGAGAATTATAAAATTTTGTCCACAAGATAATGTGCAAATATAATTAACAATGTAAACATTTAGGCAGAATGCCGCTGTAGCGGTCATTAATCTCTCTCCTGAACTTATCATACAATACATTAGGTTAATGTACTTACGATTAGTTGCATGCACACATATATCTACACAATCCTTAAACGGGGCACTTCTAACTAATTAAACTTATTAACTATTGACTATTAACACATATACACATCCAGCCTCAATACTGTCTTGGTTTCCACTCCGTGGAAAGTTTTGGAACAGTCCAAATCACGAACACAGGCGGGAGGGTTCGGAAGAGTTCACTTTCGAGGGGTGGCCTTTCTTACAGCCGCCCCCAAATTCACAAGGTGAATTTGAACAACAAGAAAGGCCTTACTAAGTATTGGAATGTCATTCAGGCAAAGGAGGTAGGCAGATCATCTTGGTCACTGGCCTTAGGTAAGTTCTGTCCTTCACTTTGATCTCAGCTGATCTGACTCTGTTATCCTTCCCAGGGAAAACTTGAACAATCCTTCCAATAGGCCAAAGTGCGCGAGGTAGCTGTGGATCCACAATCATAACAGTTTTACCTATCCGTAGGTTGTCTGTTTCTGACATCCATTTATGTCTGGTTTGAAGGCTGGGCAGGTAGTTACGGATTAATTGCCTCCAAAAGTGATCAGCTAGCAGCTGACAATGCCTCCATCTTCGTCGACTCAGAAGCTCAGAATCCTGGTATGTCGATTGGGGAAGTGAGGCATCCCAACGCCCCATCACTGTCCATACTTGCGAGGAGATCAATATGCACTGCACGGGTGGTCATACACTTGAAGATGATCTCCCAATGCTTCTCATTTCTCCGTCCCACCTTTATAAGATAGGGACCAAAGCAATCTATCCCTGTTGAATAGAAAACTGGCTGGTGAATTCTCAACCTGGCAGGTGGGAGGTCTGCCATCCTGGGGGGATGTGGTTTAGCCCGCCATTTTTGGCATTCAGCGCATTGGCGTTGGTGATGTTTGACTGCTGCTCGTCCTCTTAATACCCAGTATTTCCTCCTGAGCTCCGCAAACACCCTCTCTGGTCCAGGGTGATGCAAACGGTCATCGTAGTCTTTGATAATCAGTTTGGTGAGCGGGTGATGTGGGTCAAGGACAATGGGGTGAATGGTATCCTCGTCTAGTTGACTGATTTGTCAGAGGCGGCCGCCAACCCGAATGAGATTGGTGCTGATATCTAGTTCGGAGGCTAGGCAAGCAGTTGAATATTGCTTGGTAGAGGTTTACCAGATTTCAAGTGCAATATCTCGTCTGGGAATGATTCTGCCTGGATCTGTCGGAGGGCTGTGAGCTCAGCTTCTATATAGTCTTCTGCAGTTGCAATGGAGGGAGAGCTTTCAGCTGATGGTTGTATAAGAGCATTTAGGTAGTCTGTGAAGGTGCAAAATTGATGAGGATCTGGCAGTAACAGAGTAGAGGTTAACAGTCCACAGAAGGTTGACCTTTTCAGCTCACTGTCTTGACTTACATGGGCTAATGGTGGCATCTCTGGCCAGCTGTCTGGTCTTTGTCTGAGGAATGCTGGGCCTTGGTTCCATCTGCTGTCTTTGTTGAGATCAGAGGGAGACTTTCCTCTTGTAATGCCATCTGCTGGGTTGTCGGATGACTGTACATAACGCCAGGTGTCAGATTCAGTCAAGTCCTGTGCCACTCTGGTCCCCACGAACACCTTAAAGCGACAGGAATCTGATAAAAGCCAAATTTAGCACAGTGGTGGAATCAGACCACAGTGTGACACTACTGAGTGGTAGTCTCGTGTAGCCAGACCTTCAGACTGACGGCTGAAGGTCTGGAATCCATGGCAGCTTTCATTGGCCAAAGCCCGCCTATGAGGCCGCTTGACCAACATGTCAAACAACCAATCACAGTTCGTTTCGTTTCAGCGTCACGTTTCGGGGCGTGGAAATGACGCCACAATAACAGACTCTCGGATGTAAAACTCTCGGATGTATTTTAAAGATTCTGTGCTGTGAACTTTAAATATTTCACATACCTTTGAAAATCCAGCATTTAGTTGATACTGATAAGCGCTCGTCGTCACAGTTGTAAATATGACGGCTTTCTTCTTTCGTGAGGGGGTTTGCCGTCATGACATCTTTGTTTCCAGGTGGTACATTATAGAATGCGACACACACGTCTCTCGGAAATCCTGTATAATTTAACCAATCCGATGACGACTTCGAAACTCCTGAAGGGTTTCCACTTTTGTGTGCCATATGCATCAGACGTTTAGCCAACATTCCATGGGCATGACATCTGAGGCTGAGACTAACTGAGTGGTAACGTTAGCTCTGCCTTCAGGACTTTAGCAAGCTGTGCACCTGTGAGTGCGGCACACAGCTCAAGACGAGGAATGCTCTGCTGTTTCTTGGGAGCAACACGGGACCTAGCTGTTACAAAGGCCACCTCCACTTTACCTTGAGGTTTCTCTGTTCTTAAGTAAGCCACAGATCCATACGCTTTCTCTGAGGTATCACAAAAAAATGTGAAGCTGCCTAATACTAGTGGAGCAGTCCAATTCTTTGCTGCAGTAACATCTGGGCAAACTGATATGCTGCAGATCTTCCAATTCACTCTCCCAATGTTTCCAGGAATCTAATAGGTCCTCTGGCAGCCTTGGGTCATCCCACTCCCTCTGTTTGTCCCACAACCTCTGCACTATCACCTTGGCTCGAGTGGTGAAGGGTACAATGTAGCCAAGGGGATCATACTGGCTGGCAAGGATCTGGTAGATGTTTCGCATTGTGGGCACTTGACAAGTCTAATTTGCTTCGTTTGTACGAAAGTGTGTCTGATTTGCAATTCCAGTGCAGGCCAAGAGTTGATTCCTGAGCTTCTTGGTTGCCTTCGCTGAGCCAGAGAATGCTACTCCGAGACTGAATGTCGACTGGCAGATGGCTGATAACTGAAGGGTCATTGCTAGCCCGCTGTCGTAGCTCAAAGCCACCAGATGCTAGAAGGCTACGGAGTTTGTCTACAAGATTCTTGGCCATGTCACGGAAAGCAAAGCTCTGGAGGCAATTTTCCACATAAAATGACTTCCTCACTGAAACTTGTGTGTCCTCTCCAGGCTGGCTGTGATCTAGAACGTGCTTCTGTAAAGCAAACGAGGCACAACACGGACTGCAAGTGGTCCCGAAAGACAGTACCTGCCATTCATAGACATCCGGGATTCTGTCGCTCTGCATGTCTCTCCAGATGTATCTCAGCAGTGGTTTATCTTGTGGCAAGAGGCGTACCTGATGGTCCCGGAAACGCAGAAGGACTGCCAGGAGAGATGGTCCAAGTGTTGGACCAGGTAACAGGAGCTAGTTCAGTTTGTGCCCTTGGTATGAGAATGAACAGTTAAAGACCACCCTGTTCTTCCCATTATGCTGCACCATGTGGTGCGGGATGTACCAGGCTTCCTTTGTTCTGTCCACTTGCTCCTGACTAAGTTTGACAACATACTCAGCTTGTACTAGCTTGGCCAGCTCCTCTTGGTATGCTGCAGCTAGAACAGGGTCTCTTTCCAGCTGTTTCTCGATTCCCCTTAACTGAGGTAAGACAGCTTCCTTAGGTGCGTAGAGACGAGGCATGTTCTTGACACGTAGCAGTGGAGTAGCGTATCGCTGGACACCATCAATCGCCACTCTCACTGAGTTTTCTTGCAGAAACTGAATGGACTCTTTGTCTTGACGTGACCTGGTGATCATCTTTTCATTCTGGTAGGGTAGAACATCCATTTGCCACAGTCTCTCCACATTTGCATAAAGGTAATTGACAGGCCGCAGCGAGGTGAATAAGCATTGATCATGGGAAAGATGACAGCTCAATTCTTCAGTTGGACCCTACGGTGTCCATCCCAGATGTGTTCTTACTGCTGCTGGCCCACCAGGGGGCCCCAGTCGGACTGGTTCTATGGGTGTAAGGAGGTCGGGGCAATCAGAGCCAATGAGAAGAACAGGATGTACCTTGTCCAGCTGTTGTAGAGGTAACCCTGCAAGATGCTTGAATTTCCGTTGCAGGACACTGACTGTAATTGTAATTGTAAAAACTTTATTGTCCCCCTTAGGGGCAATTTGTTCTGCAGCATAATAGATTTCACCACATACAAGACAGACAAATGCACAACATTAATAGCACATTAAAAAAGGACAAAAAACTACCTCTTCCTATTTGAATTAAGCAACTTGATAGCATATGGAACAAATGAAAATTTAAATCTGTTTGTCTTAGCTAGAGGGACCCTATACAAGAATTCTGAGGGGAGGGTCTTAAATGAATCATAAAGAGGGTGAGATGTGTCAGATATGATGTGATGCGCTTTCTTTATCACCTGAATGTCAAACAAATCTGACAACCCAGGCAATTTCACACCCAGTACTTTTCTGCAGTTATTTACAACCTTTAATAGAGAATTCTTTTGTTTGACTTTTAAAGAGGCAAACCAACAAATCAATGAAAAAGTTAAAATTGATTCAACATATGCCTTATAAAAAGCAGTCATCAATGTCTTATCAATATTCAATTTAGCTAATTTCCGCAGACAATAAAGTCTTTGTTGGCCCATCTTACACAATCTATTGGTATTCTCTGCAAAATTTAATTTATTATCGATAATAGTACCTAGGTACTTATAACTTTCGACCAATTCAATCAAATGATTATCGACAATAGTACATGGAACTGCTGCCTGATTTCATCGCAGGTCGATGCACATGTCCTTGGTTTTCTCAGTATTCAAAAGTAGACCTGCCTCTCGACACCAATTTGCAAAATACTCGACAATAGGCCAGTGTTCCTTCTCCTCACCAACCAACAAACTCACAATAACTGTGTCATCAGCAAACTTAAGAACGTACCGATTCTCAAGCTGACTACGACACTCATTTGTGTATAGGATGTAAAGGAGAGGAGAAAGTACACACCCCTGTGGGGAGCCAATAGATGTAGTTATAGGGCCTGACAGAACGCTATTAACCCTTACCCTCTGAGACCTATTTGTAAGGAAATCTAGTAACCAAGCGGCCATTCTTGCATCCACACCAAAACTCGACCTAAGCTTGTGAACCAACAAGCTTGGTTGGATTGTGTTGAATGCAGAAGAAAAATCTACAAATAATAGCCTTGCATGGTTACTACTACCCTCCAGATGTTTATACAACAGGTCCAGTAAGGTCAGTGTCGCATCCTGCACACCTCTCCCTGCCCTGTAGGCAAATTGCATCGGGTCGAGAAATGGTTTAGTTTTTTCCAATAATACCTCTTTTACTAATTTCTCAAATACCTTCATTACAAGTGAGGACAGGGAGACTGGTCTATAATCTGTCAAACCTTTAGGACAATTATGTTTTGCAACTGGAATAATAATAGACTGTTTCCAAAGTTTTGGTATATACTGAACTTCAAAAGACCAATTAAACATATAGGTAAAAATTGGACCCAATTCTTCTGTTTCAGGACCCTACCACATTCCATCCGGACCAGGACTCACTTTAATTTTACATTGTTTAAAAAGATTAACTACACTTTCTACATAAAAAAAACAGGTAAACTTCTTGAGAGGAGTTATAGAACTCATGCCTTATGCCACCATTCTGCTCTTCAAATCTAGCATAAAACTTATTAAAATCCTCAGCAAGGGCACTATCGAACTCATAACTGGTTAATTTCACTCGTTTTCTACATCCATCATTTAGGCCCGTCATTAATTTAAGACTATCCCATACTGAGCCCATACAGTTTGATCCTTATTTTAATCTCCACTTTTTCCTTATAACGTATTTTTGCCCTCCTAATTTCTTGTCTAATTAATTTCTGTACATTTTTAACTTCAAGCAAATCCCCTCGTTGAAAAGCAGTTATTTTCTTAATCAACAGACCCTTAAGATTAGTGCTCACCCATGGCTTACTATTTGGATATATCTTCACAACTTTTTCAGGAATGACAGAGTCAACACAATAAGTTACCCAGGAACTAACCACATCATTAAGCTCATCAATATCAGCAGATGAATCCTTAAAAACATTCCATACGGTACAATCAAAACATCCTCGTAAACTATCAATAGCATCATCAGTCCAAGATTTCACAGTTTTTGTTTCAACTTTTCCCCTCTTCAGTTCAGTAATATAACATGGAATAAGATGAATACAATTATGATCTGACGAACTCAAAGGAGGTAGTAGAGAAGCTTTGTATGCTCTCTTAATAGAGCCATAGCATTGGTCCAATGTCCTTTTATACCTAGTTGGACATGTGACATACCCATACATGTTCTTTACAGATTTTTCCAATACACAATTATTAAAATCGCTCATGATAAAAATCGGAGCATCCGGGTATAGTAACTGGTATTTCATAAAACTCTTCTCAATGTACTCCATAGCCAAGTTCACATTCGCCTTTGGGTGAATATACACAACAGACACAAATATTTGGGGAAACCCTCTAGGCAGATAATGAGGCCGGAGGGATATTGTGAGCATCTCAAATGTCCTTTTTGCATAATTTCTCTCTCACAACAACAGTCTTGCACCAACGCTCATTCACGTATAAACATACCCCTCCGCCTCGCGTCTTGCCAGTTATCCCAGAGTCACGGTCAGTTCGAAATGGGCCACTAAATCCATTAATTAGAAACTCTTCATCAGAGTCCAATTTCGATAGCCAAGTCTCCGAGATTGCAAGCAAAACAACTGTCTCTGAATTCGTGTTGAAAACGAACATGTGCGTGAAGTTCCTCAATCTTATTACGTAAAGACCGAGCATTTGCTAAAATAATAGATGGAAGCGGTATTCGAGACAGCGGTCTCTTTCTCGATCTTTCACGTACCCCACCTCTTCTCCCTTGCTTCCTTGGTCGCTGACTCGACCCGTTGAAGTGGGCTTTGGAGTTGATTCCATCAGCAAAAGCACTCAGATCTGGGAAGAAGAAGTCCACAGAAGAATTCACCGGTGAGAGATTCTCCCATGACAACAACAGTTCTCTGTCGTAGTAAATCCTATTCGGGTGCAAGCCGTCCCAAATGGCATTTAAATCGTCCGTTAACCAAAATAAAATAAATGCAAGCATAATAGTCCATCTCCACTCCATAGTACTATTAAGTTAAACACATAAAACACATAAAAACAACATAAAACGCCAACACATTCAACACTACCACGCTGCTGGTCGCTGCACGAGCATGTGCCCTTCTTTTTTTTTTTTTGGGTGTGTATGTTCTGCCAGACCGAGTGCTTTGACTGTGAAAGCGTTACAGATCTTGTAAGCTTTGCTGTGGTTAACAGTTGGGGACACATTAAAAGTCACTGCCGCCCCGTGAATGACCTGGGTATCCTGTCTCACTGTACAGAGTACAAGGTCCTCTGGCTCACCCACAGGCCTTAATTTCTGCACTGCATCATGCAGAATGATGGTCCGCTCTGATCCATCATCTAATACGGCGTAGGCCTCCATGGCCACGTTGCCATTCCTGATCAGAACCATAGTCACTTTGAGCAGTACTTTATTGCCAGAGGTTGGGCAGTCAACATATAAAACTGCACTGGAAGGAGCTGCACTTGGCTGAGATGGCTTGGCCTGTTCATTGACATCATGCAGTACCAAAAGGTGCTCCTTGTTGCAGATTGGGCAGAGAGTCTTTAGTGTGCAGTTAGCTGCTTGATGTCTACGACCACAACGCCAGCAGTGGTTCTTTGTCTTTATCCAGTCTATCTTCAGGTCTTTGCTGAAAAGCTTGAAGTTGTCACAGCCATTCAGATAATGTTTATTATTGTCACAGTATGGACAATAAGCTCTCACCTTCTCTTCTCTGACTGAAGCTGGTTTAGACGTGGCTGACGACATTGATGTGGAATGTGACTTGTCAGTACCAAGTAGAATGGTGGTCGGTCTGCGAGGCTGCTTAGACTCTCTTCTCACCTCTCTGACACGAACTGAATATTCCTGCCTTGGATAACAAGCATACTGGCTATTGTCTTCCTGTACTTGAAGCTCATATTCCAGCCAATCAGCGAAGTCCAGCAAGGTGGGAATAGAGACTTGCAAAGGGTGGGTGTACCACTTGAAACTCGATCTGAGGTCATGTGGCAGTTTACTCAGGTGTCGAGACACATGTGATCCACATTCCAGCTCTACAGTACCTTTGTGGCCCAGTTGCTGCAACATACTGACAAGCGAGCACACCTGCAGTCCGAACATCCTGAAGGCCCTTACATCTCCACTGCGTATACTAGCTCCATCCATCAGCTCAGCGATTCGTTGCAGGGCTAATTGGTGGGGTTGACCATACATCTAATCCAGAGCTTTCATGGTGTTGGTGAAGGGAAATCTGGAATTACTGTAAGAGTCTGCCACCAGGAGGGCCTCCTCCAGTTTCAGATGGTCTGTGAGGATTTGAAATTTGAAAAGTTCTGTGGCATCATCAGTCAGGATGTTCTCTAAAGCAATTCTCAGTCTTGAAAACTCCCTAGGGTCAGCGGACATCAGGCAGGGGACGGTAGGGGCTGGACCTCTGTAAGATTTATCCTGGGTAAATGAAGGTAAAAGATTATCTGAGTTGTATTCTGCGTGGGCTGGCCTCCTCCTTTCCTGTGATGGGACCACAGACTCAGGCAGCTGAGGTGGCTGGGAATATGGGGAAGAGTTGGGATACCTGAACTGAGCTGAGTCACTATAATGTACTGCAAAGGAGGGTTTCTCATGAGGGGAGGAAGAAATGTTCATGTTTCTCAGATTTTCGGTCAGCTCTGAGCTTTCCTCTGGAACAGCTGGGTGTGGCGGTCTCTTAGTGGCAGTTGGTGGCAACCTGGAGCGTGGAGCTGGTATTGGGCGGTATGACTGTAGAGTCTGAAGGTTGACTGCTGGAGAGTGGGACTGTGGTGATGGCATTGGTGGAGTGACTGACTCAGGTGGAGATCTCCGCTTCGATTTCAAGCTTTGAATCTCATGCCAAAGTGTAGCATTCTGTTGACGCATCTCTTGGAATGCTGAAATGATCTCAAGGAGCTGGCTGGATTGTCGTTGCAAGGCTGCATTCTCCCTCTTCATCTCCTCTAACATGGCTGTAAGCTCTGGCAGCTGCTGTTTTACTTGCCTTTGCAATGCAGCATTCTCCTCTCTCAGCTTCTCAGAAGTGCTGTCCCATTGGTCGGTCAGTATCCATTCGGAATGTTCTGATGCTTGGCTCACTGGTGAAGTGGATCTGGAATGACCTGTAGTACTTGCTGGTTCATCCTCCAGTACTCCTTGGCAGGTAAGCAACCTTGATTGTTGTCGATGAGACCCAGGTCCACTGAGCTCAAAGTCTTCTAGTAGGCTGGAGGGTTAACTCGTCTCCTTGGTCGCACAGAAGGGGCTTCTCTTTCTAGGTGAGAGACATGTCTGTAGTAATCCACACATCTGGCTCGAAGGACCATGAAAAACTGCTGACTACTCTTGTCTAACTCTTGTTTCGGATTCACTGAACGGCTACAGGATGTCCGGTCAGTACATTAGGTCTCACACCAGGAATGTACTTCAGGGTGATTTATTGTGCAAAGATGTGTGATTTTGTAAATATAAAAAAGTATACAAATATAAATAAATTAATAAATATACATTAACAGATCTTTATAGCAGTACTTGAATACTCATAAGTAACAGCCTTGTAAATTATATATCAGATAACATAACATGAAGTAAACTATATAAATATAATATAGATACAAATATGAATGGAAGTTCTATAAAATGACCACACTACTGCACTGTGTCTAGCTCACGTGCCTAACTCGTCAGGTGAACAAGCCCGAACATGTTCCCTGAGATGTGTTTCAAGTCTACGCATTATAGCCTAATATGCAATATAACATTAAATACTAGGGCTGCACGATAAATCGCATGCGATATTTAATGCGCATCTTGTCAGAAAGCCGGTTCTGTAATCAGCGGTAAATCTCCATCACGTGCGGGCTTTCACATGGAGCAGCATTAACTACACAGAGCCGTTGTTCACTGACGAGCTGCGCAAAAAATCGCGCGAATATGAACGTGGTTTTGTGCAGCTCGTCAGTGAACAACGGCTCTGTGTAGTTAATGCTGCTCAATGTGAAATCAAACAAATTACAGAGGAGAATTATAACATTTTGTCCACAAGATAATGAGCAAATATAATTAACAATGTAAACATTTAGGCGGAATGCCGCTGTAGCGGTCATTAATCTCTCTCGTGAACTTATCATACAATAAATTAGGTAATGTACTTACAATTAGTTGCATGCACACATATATCTACACAATCCTTAAACGGGACACTTCTAACTAATTAAACTTATTAACTATTGACTATTAACACATCCAGCCTCAATACTGTCTTGGTTTCCACTCCGTGGAAAGTTTTGGAACAGTCCAAATCATGAACACAGGCGGGAGGGTTCGGAAAAGTTCACTTTCAAGGGGTGGCCTTTCTTACATTTACAGTGTCTGCATGATGACAATTAAAGTGATGTGGTGAGAAAAATAATCTTGTTTCCATTTGCATTAAGATTATTTTTCTCACCCCACTGGCAGACAATTTAATTTCCCCCAGGAAACAAGACAAATATTTTCTTTTTTTATATAGAAATTGCATCATCATTTAAGAATTTTTAGATATTTGTACTTGAAATAAGGCAAACATCTCAGCAATAAAAGCATTTTTGCAGCATGAATGAATGAATGAATGAGGTATTTAAACATTGCTTAAGCTTTAAAAGGGGGGAGGAGACCGAAAGAAACTCTGGGTTTACCAAAGAAAACCTGCTCCCGACCAGGTTAGGTTCACAGAGTAAGTTACTATGGTAACTTACCAAGAGGTTTATTTTAGTCTTTTATTGGAACAGAAAACACAGAGTTTCCAACAAAACCCACTTTCTGGAATACACTCCTGTTATCTATAAAGACTTATCTTCTACCATTTTTGTTTGTGCCTGACTTCATCAGGCTCCGAAAATTCTTCAAAAAGAACACAAAGAATGGCCTTCTCAGCTGCCATAGTTGAAACTCTTGCGTCATCAGAACAGGGTGTTCAACGCACCACCGTTTCCGTTTAAAACCCGTTTTGCACCGTTTCTGTCGGGGCTGAACACAGCCCTGATGGTCGGAACATTGTACCAGTACCAATAAATTCTTTGGGAGCAGTCTAATCAGTGTGCGGACAATTTTTAGTTTCGAGTTTAATTTACCCCCATCACAAACAACTAAGTATATATATGTTTTGCAGCACTGAGCAATGTACCTACTCAGTCACAGACATACCTCTTGTTTATTTCTAATGCAATGCCAATCAGAGGTGCTAGGATTGATTTAGCCTACTGCTCCAAACACCTGAGTTTGTGTTCAAATAGAAATCGGGCCTGCCGGTAAATTGCAAAGAAATTTATAATAAATAACAAAATTATTAAATGTTTAGTTAATTAAATTGTTAAATTAGTTGTAAGATGTTGGTAGTAATTTAAATAATTTTAAATATTAACATAAAGAAAATAATAACTGAGTTAGGTAGGCTATAGCTTACAGTAGCTGCGTCCCAATTCAAAGGCTGTGTCCTACGAAGGCCGCATTCGAAGGGTGATTGCGTCACCGCGGCGCAACGAAGGCTGCCGCAATTCGAAAGCGACTTCAAATGCGCCCTCCGTTTTGCAGGCAAATGAAGGATACAACAGATGGATCCTTCGCGGCCTACCCTATCCCAGAATTCATAGCGCGCCGGTGACAACGGGATTTTTATTCAAACAAAATAGTGGGTGATAGTTCTGTGGCAGCCGACAAATACACTTTTCAATGTAAGTATTGTGTTTTAATTTACTTAAATAGCTAACAAAACAAGTTTTAAAAGTCAGGGATCTTTCTTTAAAAAAATTTGAATTTTAACAATACCACTGAACAGATTCATTTGTTAGGTGGTCTGAGGCAAAAGTTGTTGCATTTATTAAATTGAGGGCTAAATATTTCTGAATCATCAAGTTTGCTTAAAACATTTGTGGACATATCTTGCATGACAGCACTACAAAAATAAAATAAAATAAACTTAGGATTGCAGCCCGGTCTTAATATTTTTCATGAGACTTTTTTTCAGTTTTGGAGAAAATGGGGCTGCTGGGAAGCTTAAAAATGAAATAAATTAAGTTGTTCTGTAGGCTACATTACTTTTGTAATTTAAGTTATTTGTAAATGAAGCAAAGTAACTTCTGTATATTGTTTTATTTTTGTATTATAAGTTGAAACTTGTAAAAAAAATACAAGAATAGTTCTGGAAATTGTTTATTTGTGCAACGCAAGTTATGTAATGTAAAAACTTGTAAATGACAGAAATGGTTCTATACATTTTTTTTGCCTCTAAATAACATTTGTAAATGAAAATAGATTGTTCTATAGCAGGGGTGCCCAAACTCGGTCCTAGAGGGCCGGTGTCCTGCAGAGTTTAGCTCCAACCCCAATTAAACACACCTGAACCAGCTAATCAAGCTCTTATAGGCATACTAGAAACTTACCAGCAGGTGTGTTGAGGCAAGTTGGAGCTAAACTCTGCAGGACACCGGGCCTCCAGGACCAAGTTTGGGCACCCCTGTTCTATACTAAAAGTACTTTTTACAACTAATTATAAAATAACTTAAATTCAACATCAGAAAAACAACATAAACATTTAATTAACAATACATAAAACAGATTGGAAAAAAACAAATATTTTCATGTAAACTTTCATTCAGTTGAGCAGGGAGAACCAGTGGAGCTGCTGGACCTGGATGGGCTGCCACAATAGAGACCCTGGTACGGCCTGTGCCAGTGGGACATCATCTGGTCTCCAGAGTGTTTGAGTGCCTATTTCCACTGTCCAGCACTGGGACGTTCAGATTTATCCTGCAGTACAGGGGTCTGGTCTGATTTAGGGAAATTGTGTAGAGCTATGACAAAGTAATTGGTGGAAGAAATATTGAGTTACTTTAGTAAAGTACTTTCAGTAATTACTAATAGTGCATTGAGGAAAAACTGCATGCATTTAAAACCTTAAATAAAAGTATTATTTTGCATTCTGTAAGGTATGAAGAGTAAAAGTAAAGGTATATATTCTGCAGAAGACAAATAAACTTTTTATATAGGATGGTCTTGCATTAATACTGCTGCACTACTGTGTATGTTGCATTTTACTTCTGAGTTCAAGGTTGTTACATTTAAAATACTTTACTGTTGGGCAGTTTAATGTACAACAGTGCATCATATTGTGAAAGATCATGTTTTTGTAGTGTTGCTGTCCTGTGAGGAAAATAAAAAAACTCAGTACTTCTCATTTGTATGTGAATACTTAAGGAATGTATTTCTTTACACTCCACCACTTTGTCATTTTGCAAATGAAACGAACAAAGTTTATTGCTAGAATATTAACAAATATTTGCTAACTACAGCTGCGTCTGATATCAAAGGCTGCTTTCGAAGGACTCGGACTGGTCTAGCCTGCGGAGGACTGTTCTTGTTGCCTAGCAACTGTGACAGCTGCTGTTGATGAGTGACAGTAATGTTTGTAAGTGGACTACTATATTCAGCTGCATAAAACTAAACAGGGTTGAAAACCTGTTTAAATATGTTCACCATGGTCCATTTATATACATAATAATGAATAATAGAATAAACTACATAAAATCGCATTTTGCTAAGATATAAGTCAACATTTAACCGCTTTATATTTTGTGGGGGTTTTTTCATATTACAATATTCAAGTAAGTCGAACCCCAATAATTACATTTAAAGTGTAATTCGGTAATTAAAAGTCAAAAACTAACAGTTCATGTTCCATTTATTTTCATTTTCATTAACAAATAACATCTATGGCAGCTCTTTTCTCGCACCGTTGCTAAGCGACTGTGGCGGCAATCGGGAACACCTGGTGGCGCAATTAGGATATCCTGTGAAGGCTAGACTGCGGAGCGTCCTTCGAAGGACACAGCCGAGGAAGTTGGGGGTCAACGCAGTAGCCCCACTGCAGAACACAAGATCCAGGGGGCATGGTTGGATCCACATCTAGGGGGTGGAGATTGGTAAGTTTAGAGGTGGAGCTCTGGGAGATGGGTAGGTTTAGGGGTGGAAATGGGTGGGTTTAGGAATCAGGGGGTGGCTATGGGTAGGTTTAGATATATGTAAGGTGGGAGGAGTTGGATCTGGATCCAACCACGCCCCCTGGATCATGTGTTCTACAGTGAGGACCATCTCAGTGAACAAGGTCAACGATCATGACTACATCTCCAATTTTCAATGTTTTCTTCTCCGTCTTCCACTTCTGGCGGGCTTGGAGATCTGGTAAGTAGTACTTCAGAAAATGTCTCCAGAAGTGCTCCACGAGCAGTTGGCTGTGGCGCCAGCGTCGCCGCCTCTGGATTTCTGACTCCTGTTAGATGACTTGAGGTAGTGACGCATCTTGACGGCCAATTAGGAAGCAGTATGGGGTGATCGGGTCAAGATCAGCAACGTCCGTAGAAGTATACCCAAGAGGCTTGGAGTTGAGGATACCTTCCACCTCAATCAGCTTAAAGTGTAATTCGGTAATTAAAAGTCAAAAACTAACAGTTCATGTTCCATTTATTTTCATTTTCATTAACAAATAACATCTATGGCAGCTCTTTTCTCGCACCGTTGCTAAGCGACTGTGGCGGCAATCGGGAACACCTGGTGGCGCAATTAGGATATCCTGTGAAGGCTAGACTGCGGAGCGTCCTTCGAAGGACACAGCCGAGGAAGTTGGGGGTCAACGCAGTAGCCCCACTGCAGAACACAAGATCCAGGGGGCATGGTTGGATCCACATCTAGGGGGTGGAGATTGGTAAGTTTAGAGGTGGAGCTCTGGGAGATGGGTAGGTTTAGGGGTGGAAATGGGTGGGTTTAGGAATCAGGGGGTGGCTATGGGTAGGTTTAGATATATGTAAGGTGGGAGGAGTTGGATCTGGATCCAACCACGCCCCCTGGATCATGTGTTCTACAGTGAGGACCATCTCAGTGAACAAGGTCAACGATCATGACTACATCTCCAATTTTCAATGTTTTCTTCTCCGTCTTCCACTTCTGGCGGGCTTGGAGATCTGGTAAGTAGTACTTCAGAAAATGTCTCCAGAAGTGCTCCACGAGCAGTTGGCTGTGGCGCCAGCGTCGCCGCCTCTGGATTTCTGACTCCTGTTAGATGACTTGAGGTAGTGACGCATCTTGACGGCCAATTAGGAAGCAGTATGGGGTGATCGGGTCAAGATCAGCAACGTCCGTAGAAGTATACCCAAGAGGCTTGGAGTTGAGGATACCTTCCACCTCAATCAGCACTGTCCTCAACACTTCCTCAGTAACAGTCTGGGCTCCGATAGTCACTCTGAGGGCTGCCTTGATCGAGTGGATCTCTCTCACCCAGCAACCGCCAAAGTGAGGGGCACCGGGCGGGTTGTCGATGAACTTGATCTGCAGATTGGCAAGGTGGCTCTGTAGCTCTTCTTGGAGGACCGTGAAGGAATCATTCAGTTCGCGTTCTCCTCAATACTGGTGTGAAGATTAAGATGGGTTGCCCTTGTGGTCATACACTTAAAGATTATGCCCCACCTCTTCTCATTACGTCGGCCGATCTTAATGAGGAAGGGGCTGAAGCAGTCCATGCCGTTCGAGTAGAAAGCCGGACGGAAGTATCTCTGTCTGGTGAGGGGCAGGTTAGCCATGAGAGGGACTTCTGGTCGGCCTCTCCATTTCTTACAGTCTTAACACTGGCACAGGTGACGACGGACAGCTTCACAACCTCTTAGTATTCAGTACGTCCTTCTGATTTCTGCAAACAACCGCTCTGTACCGGGATGATGCAGCCTCTCATCATAGTCCTTTATGATTAACGCTGTGATTGGATGTCAAGGGTTGAGGACAGCTGGATGTACAGCATCCACTTCCAGTACCTCACAGTGGTGTAGACGGCCTCCTACTCGAATCAGACCAGTAGCAGCGTCAAGCTCCGGGGAGAGTGTGACCAGTCTGCTTATAGACTATACTTGTTTTCCAGACTTCAGAAGTCTCAGCTCGTCGGGAAAGGACTCGGCTTGAGCTTGACAGAGGACTACACGTTGAATGTTCCTTTGGAGGTCAGCACTGGAGGTGTAGGCCGCCCCGTGAAGCTCCTGTTCATTCAGGCACTCTGCCAGCGTGTTGTAGTTCTGCAGCTTAACTGAGGGTGTAGTGGTGGTCACTAACCCAAAGAAGGATGAAGGTCTCAGTTTGCAGCTTCTCTATTCAAGCGATAATGGAGGCTGTTCAGGCCAATTATCTGGGGGAAGCTTAAGGAATGCTGGTCCCTGACTCCAACGGCTTCCTTTGGAAAGATCTTGAAGAGGCTTGCCTCGAGTGATGTCGTCTGCTGGGTTGTCTGAAGATCTGACGTAGCGCCAGATGGCCGACGCTGTCATCTCCTGGATCTCCGCTACCCTTGTTCCCCCAAATTGGCATGAGCTGGATGTCAACCACGTGAGCACAGTGGTGGAGTCAGACCAGAGCGTAGTGGAGCGAGTTGGAATTGTAAGCTCTGTGGTCAGGAGCTGGGTTAGCTGCGCTCCATTGAGAGCGGCACATAACTCTAGGCGTGGTATGGATTGTTGCTTGCGGGGGGCAACGTGTGACCTAGCAGCGACGAAGGCAACTTCGATTTGACCCTCTTTGTGCTCTATCCGCAGGTAGGCCACCGACCTGTACGCCTGCGCCGATGTTTCACAGAAGACGTGAATGTTGTATCTACAGGATGGGTGATATTTCTGTGATAGAGAGTAGCACCTGGGCAGAGATATCTCCTCTAGTCCACTCAGCTCCTTCTCCCACTCATGCCATGATGTAAGCAGTTCCTTAGGCAACTGTGGGTCGTCCCAGTCGCGCTTCTTGTCCCACAGGCGCTGTACCAGTATCTGTACTCAGTATCCCGGGTGGTGTAAGGGATAATATAGCCAAGAGGGTCATATTGGCTTGCTAGTACTCTGTAAATGTCATCATCACCAGGGAAGAGTGTTTGGCTCGATGCTTGTACCGCAGAGTGTCAGACTGACAATGCCACTGCAGTCCAAGTGTAGACTCGTGGACGTCTTGTTGGTCTTCACTGAGCCAGAGGTTGCAGGTACTGGATCTGGATTCAGTGGGGAGGTGAGTAATCACAGACAGACAATTGCTGGCCCATTGTCGAAGCTCGCAGCCTCCAGTGGCTAGAAGTGCACAAAGTCGATCCACTAGGTCTCTGGCTTCTCGGGAGGAGTGAAGACTGTGCAGGCAATTGTCGACGTAAAATCATCTTTCAATTACCTCTCTGAATTGGTCTCCCGGCTGACTGTGATCTATGACGTGTCTCTGCAGGGCATACGTGGCACAGCAAGGACTGCACGTGGTGCCAAAGGGGAGCACCTGCCACTGGTACACGTTGGGGGGGTCGCTCAGGCATCAAGTCTTGCCACAGGAATCGGAGCAAGGGCATGTCACCGGGGAGCAGCATCACCTGGTGAAACATACAGAGAATATCGCTGCTTATGGCAACAGGGTGCTCTCGAAAGTGGAGCATGACTGCTAGTAGTGATGGCCCTAGCGTGGGTCCTGGAAGGAGGAACTCATTAAGCCTGGGGCCTTCAAACTGAAAGGAGCAGTTGTAGACAACCCAGTTCTTGTTATTGTGCAGCACCATATGGTGGGGGATGTACCAAGACTCTGCGGAGCTCTCCACCTCTCTCAGTTCCAGCTTGGCCACATAACCTGCTTCCTTCAGTCTAGTGATCTCGGCCTGGTAGGCAGACGCCTGCTCTGGGTTCTTAAGCAGTCTTCTTTCGACACTCCTAAGTTGAGGGAGAACAGCTTCCTTGGGCATAGTCAAATGTGGCATATTATGCATACGAAGAAGCGGTGTGGCATACTGCATCATACCTTCTACTTCCACTCGCACAGTCTTCTCCTGCATGAGTCTGATAGCTTCTTGATCTAGTTTGGATCGTGTCGCTACCTTTTCACTGCGGTAGGGAATCACATCCATCTGCCGTAGTCTCTCAACATGAGCAAACAAGTCTGTGTTGAGGAGGACATAAATATATAAATATATATATATATATATATTTAACAATATATCAGCACGTGAATATCAGCACGTGAATGCTGCATGACAGCAGCTTAACATGCCTGGACATGTGCTAAGTGGATGATCGTTACATGCAAACAAGCACCTTCACATAATGTGTGGCGCACAATAATAGCACAGATATGTAATAATAACACACTGTATAACATATACGTATAAGCATCTCACAACAAACAGTATCACAGATGTACTTGCAAATGTACCGAATCGAGCAGGTAATACAGGCAGTGCTATGCTAATCAGCTACTACTTAATCGGCATGAGAATAACGGCTGATCACTTAACATTAGCAGAAAATACAGACATTACTTACTTCACATGTACGCACACTGTAACCCAGTATAAACTCGAATTCAATGTCTTTAAAGTACCAATGAATGAATTATAATAAGCTGCTGAAGTATCCGTCTTGTCACGTGCTGCGTCTACTCTCTAACTGCGATCTAGCTCCACCTCCATTGCTGCCACGCTGAACAGTCTGATTGGTCAGAATCATACAGAACTTAAAGCTGCAGTCCGTAACTTTTGGTTACTCGTCTATGACGAATCACGCAGGTACTGGTCTTCTCCGCAGCGGTACCTACCCGAACCAATCTAAAATAGTCAGAATATAAACATTTATTATAGGTGTACCGTAGTGATTCAGGATAAGCCAAAAACACGGTTTGGAAAATGGATTCATGGTGTACTCGCTTATTATATAAATTTTGTTAATTTTGAACACAAAAGAGTTACGGACTGCAGCTTTAAAGACAACCAGTCCTTTTGTACACAGCTAGTAAGCGCTGTGCAGGTGTCACAGTGTCTGGTTGTGGTGCCCTGGACTGGCCACTTGAGGGCGCTCTTCCTGTTTCTTTGTTACATGTTAAAGAGAGCAGCCCGGAAAATGGAGCGCAGCTGGAGGAAAACAAAACTAGAGGTATTTTGTATTGCTTGGCGAGAAATTAACCTATCCTACAGAAAAGGATTAAAAACTGCTAGATCTGATTACTTTTCTTCTCTTTTAGAAGAAAACAAACATAACCCCAAGTATTTATTCAATACAGTGGCTAAACTAACGAAAAATAAAGCATCAACAGCTCACAGAGTCCACTCCAGAGCCCGCTCCAGTCCGGGAGCTCACAGAGCCCACTCCAGAGCCCGCTCCAGTCCGAGAGCTCACAGAGTCCACTCCAGAGCCCGCTCCAGTTCGGGAGCTCACAGAGCTCATTCCAGAGCCCGCTCCAGTCTGGGAGCTCGCAGAGCTCATTCCAGAGCCCGCTCCAGTCCGGGAGCTCACAGAGCCCGCTCCAGTCCGGGAGCTCACAGAGTCCACTCCAGAGCCCGCTCCAGTCCGGGAGCTCACAGAGTCCACTCCAGAGCCCGCTCCAGTCCGGGAGCTCACAGAGTCCACTCCAGAGCCCGCTCCAGTCCGGGAGCTCACAGAGTCCACTCCTGAGCCCGCTCCAGTTCGAGAGCTCACAGGGTCCACTCCAGAGCCCGCTCCAGTCCGGGAGCTCACAGAGTCCACTCCTGAGCCCGCTCCAGTCCGGGAGCTCACAGGGTCCACTCCAGAGCCCGCTCCAGTCCGGGAGCTCACAGGGTCCACTCCAGAGCCCACTCCAGTCCGAGAGCTCACAGGGTCCACTCCAGAGCCCGCTCTAGTCCGAGAGCTCACAGGGTCCACTCCAGAGCCCGCTCCAGTCCAGGAGCCCACAGAGCACATTAAGGAAGTCACTCAAGTACGGGAGCTCACAGGGACCGTTGCAGAGCAATCGGCCTGTCCTGTTGCAGCCGTCGAGGCTGGTACTAAACTCTCTCTGCTCTTGTTTACAGTTTTCCTTGAGTCGCTGAGAGGGTTTTCTGTCGCACCAGTGTTGCTTGGCAGGATTCCGACTTTGCTCTGGTTGCCCGCCTGGGTTCCTGTTTGGCAGGAGCCTCACTGGCTCATTCCTCCGGCTCCATCCTGTTATGAACTCATTCCAGTCTGTGAGCCCTCCGAGTTCATTGTGGAACACTTGCTCTGCCCGGTCATGGCCAAGGAGACCATTGCGGAGCAATCGGCCTGTCCTGTTGCAGCCGTCGAGGCTGGTACTAAACTCTCTCTGCTCTTGTTTACAGTTTTCCTTGAGTCGCTGAGAGGGTTTTCTGTCGCACCAGTGTTGCTTGGCAGGATTCCGACTTTGCTCTGGTTGCCCGCCTGGGTTCCTGTTTGGCAGGAGCCTCACTGGCTCATTCCTCCGGCTCCATCCTGGCTATCTGCTGGGGTTCCTGTGTGGTTGGGGCCTTGCTAGTTCATCCTGCCTGCCCCGCCTTGGCCTTTCACCCTGCCGGTTCTGTGCTCATGGCCTGGTCTATCTCTGTCCCATGGCCCCCTTCCATTGTATGGTCCTGGCCCGCCGTCCCTCCCCCTGGTCCGCCTCAGTTCCACCTCCCTCCTGAACTTTTGTGTGTTCTGGTGGAGCGTCTGGTATCCGCTCCGTAGAGGGGGGGTAATGTCACAGTGTCTGGTTGTGGTGCCCTGGACTGGCCACTTGAGGGCGCTCTTCCTGTTTCTTTGTTACATGTTTTGAACTCTGTTTCCCATAGTCCTTTGCACCTGTTAGTAATTTACTCATCATCCCATCACTATTTATACCATGCTCACTCTGTCTTGGCTGCAGTATTGTTTGAGGTTACATCGTGTTTTCTGTTCCCTGTGTTTTGGATTACCTTTTGCCACGTTTTTGTTCTGTTCTGTTCATTTGTTACTTAATAAACTACTGCACTTGGATCTACCTTGTTTTCTCCTGGTATTCCGTGACAGCAGGTAACTCACCTCACTCCCCTGATCTCAAGAGGCGCACTAGTGACTGACGCTAGAGGCTATCTTTAGCGTCCTTATTAGCGTGCCAACTTCCCATGAAGCGCCGGTTCGAATCCTAATCGGAATGAGTGAGGAGAACAGAACCAGAGGGGTTACATTGGTAATTTATTACTCGTTACTAGTTACTATTATTACTTTACTTATTACTTTCTGGCAACAGTAATTAGTTACTAGTTACACTACTTTTCCTTCACGCCCTACAGAAGTTGTAATTTTGTATCTTCCCCATAAAATTCTCCTAAAATGTTACTAACAATATTTCTGCCTCATCATTTGACCAAAATCTAAATTGGATTGCAATCAGAAGTTATTACAAACACTCAATGGTGATTGACTGACTTTTAAGTAAAAGTGTTGTATTGATTGTCATGTGTATCTTGAAGCTAATTGTAGCTATAATTTCTCTGTTACCCATACATGATTATATTTCATTAAGCATTTTATCAAAAGAAATCAATGAAATCATAAGTTCATAAGATATTTAATTATTGTAATATAATTTATATCGGGATCAGAGAGGGATGTGGGTGGGCAAGCCATGTAATGCCAGAGTAAAGTAATGCCTGGGTTCAGCCCGTAGCCTAATGCTCGGTAATAATGACTTTGATAAAGTTTCAGTCGCGCGTTTTAATGTTTGAAAATTAAGAGGCGGCACTATAAAACTGGTGCGGACTGCAGAGAAGTGGGAAAAGAGAAAAGAAAGTGAGCCAGATAAGGGTAAGTGATTTTTGAAAATGTATTGTTGAAATGGCGGTTTGCATCGTGGTGTGAGCGATTTGAGGACGTGCTGTGAATGTAACAACAGTAATGAACATGAACGGTATTGTTGTCTTATTCACTACGTGAATAATTCTACATATCTTATTATCCGAATGGCTTAGATTTTTAGAACGCACATGAGCTTATTTTCCATCGACCAGTTACAGCACTGCGTGTTTGCTGCATGAAAGTTCGGTCAGATTTTCTCATTGATCTGAACAAAGCAGCAGAAGGGCTGTATAAAAATACAGTTCACTCTCTGACAGCATGAGGTGCTTTAGGAACAGCAAAAATACAGCAGTTACCATGATTACCCCTCTACACACACACACACAGCAGCGCTGCGCAACTCCTGGCACCTGCTTGTTTGTCACGGAGGTCAAAGGAAGTCAGACAATATTTACATGCTTTCAAACAGCCATTCAGAATTTTTATTCACTTTGATATTTAACAAATAACGTCAAATATTTAAATATGCCATATCTTTATTAAAACATTTGTTTACACTTATACATTTTTGCATTTTAATCAGGAATAAAACATGCCAGCCCAGAAAAGATTATTCTGTATACTACTACTACTACTACTACTGCTAAATTATTCTCTTTAATTTTCATAACCCAGGTGTTCTTGCTTTATTAAAGCATTAATCTCACTAAATATTCATATATTTTTCTGAAAGCAATGGATCAACTTTTAAATAGATAAAAAAAAAATTGTTAAAAATGTTAAAAGTACTTAATAAGTAAACATTTCTTCATATTTATGTATTGAAAGATAAATACTGAGTAGATTCTGATTAAGAATTTTTTTTACACCAGGGTTATTATAGTTAACAAAAAATTACAAATACTCAAAAAATATATTTTCGTTACTTGAAATAAAATAAATGTTAACTGAAATAAAATGCTTAAACTCTTATTTTAGCTAGTTGACAAGGCAGCATTTCCCATTCCCATTCATTTAGTTTATCTTGATGCTCTAAAATAACTAAAACTTTAACTAAAATGAACATCTGTGTTCAGATCAGCTTTTCTCCTGACAAAATCAGTGTAATGGCAATATTTCCATCCCCTGAATGTGAGCTTTTCCATATTCCAAGCTTTCCTGATGCACTGGTGGCTTCATGTGCCTGCTCGAGTCATGAAAATTATGAAAATAAATCTAGGAATTATTGGATTCAAATCAGTAGGGGTTGAGGCATCAAAAGTAACTAAGTTACGAGCTGTTTTATGGATGGTCTTAATAGTAATTAGTTACACTACTAGTTACTGCAAAAAGTATTATTATTATTGTAACTAGTTACTGCCCAACACTGCTAGCGACTGACGCTAAAGTCTGCAGTCTTTAGCGCTCTTGTTAACATGCCTGCCTCCGATGCCAGAAATGCCGGTTTGAGTGAGGGGCAGAGGTGTAAAGAGTACCTGAAAACCATACTTGTGTAAAAGTACAGATACCTTACAGTGAAAATTACTCCATTACAAGTTACAAGTCACCAATTCCAAAACAACTTGAGTGAAAGTACTCTGATTTTAACAGTACTATTTTACTTATTAAATATAGGCTCAAAGATGCACTAGTCAAAGAGACATGCCAGTAAAAAAACAAGAAAGAGTTGATTTGTGAGGAGAGCAATCACATTTATTTTCTAAAACCAAAATAAAACTCAACACCTCAAAAGAATAGAGTGAGACAAATTTTTAATCGGATGAGTTGCTGATTATTTGCTCGATCAGTTTCATTTAGTTTACAACTTATTCTCAATGTCCAGGTGG